TTTGTCTGGGATATTTTGAAATGCACTGAGATTGGTCATATGGCTTTGGGTCTCTTTTTGGACCTATCAAAGGCATATGACTGTTTAGTGCATGACATATTATTTGATAAATTGGAGAAATATGGTATACGTGGACCAGCATTGAACTGGTTTAAGTCCTACTTGGCAAATAGGAGATATTTAGTAAAAATACATAAAAACACTGAACTAGGCATCTCATCTGAAAGCACTATCAATATTGGAGTACCACAAGGAAGTGTGATTGGTCCTTTACTGTTTGTGATCTATATCAATGATCTTCATGGTCTAGTGGCTAATACTACTTCCAGCATAACAAATTATGCAGATGATACAAACATTTTAGTCAGTGGTAAAGACATGTCTATTCTAAGCGTTAATGCTAGTTTAGAGTTCCAGAAAGCTAAAGACTGGTTTTCTATGAATAGGTTGGTTTTAAATCAAAATAAAACAGATCTTCTTTTGTTTAAGACAAATTATGCACATTCAGATATGCCAAACAGTATTATTGTAAATAATGACACTTTAAATATTAGCAGCAGTACCACATTTTTAGGATTATATATTGACAGTTTTTTATGTTGGGATAAACATGTTGACCAGTTGTGTATGTCTTTGAGTAAAGTGATTTACAGCTTTAGAGTTCTAAAAAAATACATGAATGGTAATTCATTAAAAACAGTGTATCATGCTAATTTTGAAGCAAAATTTAGATATGGTCTAATAAATTTTGGCCACAGTAGGGACATAAATAATGTATTTCTGGTTCGGAAAAAAATAATCAGAGTTATGTTTGACTTAAAAAGTAGGGAATCATGTAGAGGGCATTTTAGAAGTAATAATATTTTAACAGTTTACGCTGTATTTATTCAAGAATGCTTACTGTTTCTACATAAAAATAAAATACTATTTAGGAACTTTGAGCCCAATAGTATAGTAAATACCAGGTTATATAATTATAAAATTCCAATACACAGGTTAAGTATAACAGAAAAAAACGCTCTTTATTGCTGCTTCAAATTGTTTAATAAACTGGCTGAACCTATTAAAAGGGAGGAAAGATTAAGTTTGTATAAACATCAAATATTTAAATTACTGGTAGCTCTTGAGCCATATTCTGTGGAGGACTACTTGCATATGTAACGGTTAGGAATAAGTAAATAATATTTTCGTTTGTGACACTGTTTTTTTTTAATAATTTTATGTTCACGGAATGTATACTATTTTCTAAAAATAAAGATATTGTTATGTTATGTTATGTTATATTAAATGGAGATTTAGGAGACTTAGATTTTGACTAGAGATTTAGATTTTGGAGACCATTTTTTTTAATAATTTTATGTTCACGGAATGTATACTATTTTCTAAAAATAAAGATATTGTTATGTTATGTTATGTTATATTAAATGGAGATGTGTAATGAAAAATGCATCTAATACTAAATTAAATTATTGAAAATAAAGTGTTATTTAAGATTGTGGGGTTTAATGTATGTATTGCAAGTTTATTAAATCTTTTCTTAGTGTAGCACATGTGGATCAGTGTATAATCCCAGAAAACTATAGAAGTATTCTTTTTCTTCTTTATGTGCCGTCATCTACCGAAGCTTGGCGACTATCAAACGATAGGTTTCTCTGTTTTGTGCCGCATGTATTATGTTCGCAGCATCTGGTATTTGAAACCATTCTCTCAAGTTTCTCAGCCAGGATTTCTTCTTTCTGCCCAAACCTCTTCTACCTTCAATCTTGCCTTCCACGATAAACTGTAGCAGACTGTGCTTATCATTACGGAACACATGGCCCAGGTATGACGCTTTCCTCCTTTTAACAGTTGTTAACAATTCCACCTCTTTACCATTCGTCTTAATACCTATGTGTTGTTTACTCTGTCCAAAGTATTCTCAGTATGCGTCGATACAGTCACATTTCTAGAGCCGCTAAATTTTTTATAGTTGCTGCTGTTAACGTCCACCTTCTACTCCGTAAAGTAGCGTAGAGAGTACGTATCATTTCGTGGCGCGCCTTCTTCTTCAAGTTCCACTCCTATCGGAGATTGGAAATAATTCTGGCAATTATAATTTTATTGGTTACTCGCCTGAATAGTTCAATTGAACTGTATCCAAACCATTCACGGAGATTGCGTAGCCACGAGATTTTACTTCTTCCTACTCTTCTTCTACCTTTGATTTTACCCTGCATTATATTCCTTAGTAGTTCGTACTTTTCACCTCTCATGATGTGCCCCAAGTATTCCAATTTCCTGATTTTTATGGAATTTAAAACTTCGCATTGTTTTCCTAGTTGTTCGAGAACTTGTTCGTTTCTTTTGCGATCCATCCATGATATTTTCAAAATACATCGGTAACACCACATTTCGAGTGGCGCGGCGCGCCATCGAAGGTTAATAATTTCTCAACTCCAGGACAAAAGAGTTTTGTTATAGGAATGAATTATGTATTTGTAACCAAAGGGAAAGCCTGTTTTAAAGCAAAAATTTTAGTTTCTCTGGAAACAGTAATGAGGTTTTTTCTTAATGATTGTAAACAAATTGCTTTTGATTGGCTTTTGGATTGGACAGTTTTTTTAATGGGAGAATTGATAGTCGATGTATGAGAGTGAGTGGGCAGTTGTCATTGGATCATCGAAAGGAAAGGTCGCGTCTTGATAGAGGGTGTGTTCGTGAGTTTGGATACCGGCATTGTGAAAGGAAGTTAGCAGAATTGTGGAAGGAGATTACAAGTCGATGAAAAGATATCCTTGGACCTAAAGTGGGTAGTTTCTGGAATACGTAGGAAATAGTTTGGCGGCACCAAGTTGACAGAAACAGGTCCTTGTGTCATTGAGAAGTAGCTGAGTGTATGGAGAATTAAATTTCAAGTGTTAATTGTTATGCGAAGTGAAATAGAATATGCAGTTAGAACCACAAAGATGCATAAAGCAACAGGTCCAGATGAAATTAATATAGAAGCAATAAAACTACTAGACGAGGAGAATATCGAAATCTTGGTAAGGCTGTTCAATAGAATTTATGATACTGGTTACATTCCGCGAGAATGGCTGCAGTCATCCTATGTGATGATCCCAAAAACAGCTAATGCCACAAAATGCAATGAACACCGTTTAATCAGTTTAATGAGTCACTTGTTGAAACTCTCCCTTAGGATATTACACTCAAGAATGTACAAGATACTAGAAGAACTTTGCGGGTCAACACAATTCGGTTTTAAGGGAGGACTAGGAACAAGAGAGGCAACTTTATGTTTGAACACCTTAATACAAAACTGCTTAGATCAACGAAAAGATGATACCTCATCTTCATCGACTACGAGAAGGCATTTGACAATGTTAAACATGATATCATGATGGAACTACTACATAGGGCCAACATTGACCAGAAGGATTTCAGAATTATTCAGAATCTATATTGGAACCAAATGGCAAAGGTGAGGATTGATCAAGACCAATATACGGATAAATTTAAAATCCGGAAAGGTGTCCGCCAAGGCTGCATACTCTCTCCGATGCTTTTTAATTTATATGTTGAAAATATATTTGTGGAAGCATTAGAAGATACGGAATTAGGCATTAAGGTGAACGGCATACCAATTAGCAACCTACGCTATGCGGACGACACAGTGATTATAACTGATAATTTGGAAGATCAGCAGTTATTACTTGATAGGATGAATAGCATAGGTAAAAAATATGGCCTCAAAATCAACATTTTGAAAACGAAATATATGGTCATTAGCAGAAACCCTCCAGAAAACCCGATAATATGCATAGGTGACAATCGTATAAATCGCGTGAAAACTTTTAAATACCTTGGCACTACAATCAATGACCAATCGGATTCACAACACGAGATAAAAGCCCGAATACAAATGGCAAGACAAGCTTTTGTGAAATTCAGACCGCTCCTATGTAATCAACACCTAAACTTCGAAATACGCTACAGAATGGTCAAGTGCTACATATGGTCCATCTTGCTTTATGGCATGGAAACGTGGACTTTGAAAAAAACATCTATCAACAAACTTGAAGCATTTGAAATGTGGTCATTGAGAAGAATGATGCGCATACCTTGGGTGGATAGAGTTCGAAACGATGACGTCCTTAATAGAGCCGGCGTGGAAAGAGAACTCTTTGAATTAATTAAAAAACGCAAGATTGGTTACCTTGGGCACATATTGAGAGGAGCAAAATATGAAATACCACAGTTAATCCTACAAGGGAAGATCGAAGGTAGGAGAGGAGCCGGCCGCAAACAATTATCCTGGTTAAGGAATATTAAAGAATGGACAGGAATACACAATACAGGTGAGCTGTGTCACGCCGCCAAGAAGAGAATTCTAGTAATGAGATAGTCGCCTACGCACTTTGGTGTATGACATGTTAAGAAGAAGAAGTTAATTGTTAAAGAATTGAGTCAGGTGTTTCGTACAGTCGCTGCAGGAAGATTGCAGATACGAAAAGAAGAAAGCTGAGGCGAATAGTGGCAGATCACATTGCTGGGGAGCGTGGACGATTCTGGGTATGGTCCAAATACAATCTACGAAGGAAAGGTCAGTCTATTCCTTATAGAATGTCATAATTGTACATGTGGCTTGTTTTCGTACAGGTGTTTATTTGGAATGCAGTGAGGTACGATTATAGAGGGAATTGGTAAACGAATAGGCACCGATTTAAAAATGATAAAATATTGCTAATGTTCTGTATGTCGAATACAGGGTGGGTCAAAACGCAAGTACATTATTTTCTCAGTAATTTTAAATAGAACTCAGTGTATTTTATGTCACTAGCAAAAAGTTCCATTACAACACTTCAATTTTTATTTAATATTCCCTGTGTCTAAATTGATTAGTTTTTGAAATATTTTCATTTTTCAAAACAAATTATTAATTAGGTGTTTAAATTACTATGCTGTACATTTTATGTAAGCCATGACTGAATTGTCTAAAACTGACTTTATTTATTTCAGGCTAGAAGACATGTAATCTATACTAAACGATGTCAACTCCCTCTCCGGACCCCCAAAAGGGGGAGCTTGCCTACCAATCCAGCGAAACTAGCGACCGTGGTTTGCTCGCTCATGTCCATACTTGCACGTGTTCTGATAAACCATCCACCGAGAACACAAAGAATGAAAATACCCACGTGCATGCTGGTGTACGATCTGGTAGTCTACAACAAATTGTAAATATTAATCATGCAGTAGCACATAGTCACTCGCCAAAGATAGGACACGCTCCCAAAATAAAAAGCGTTAGTTGTAGATGCCATATACAGGACGACTGTGAGAATATAGGAGAATTCAATCAGACGGAACAGGGGAGAAAAAATGAGGCTGATGATAGAATAGAAGTTTCACCACTTCCACCCGCCTTGCCACCGAGACCACCGCCTAGACCTAGATATGATGGAAGTCTTAGTTCGAGGTATCGATCGCGAATATGTAAGTACAACACTATTTTCCTTTAAATAATGTGTTATTTCGATATATTGACCTTTTACGTAGCCCAATAATGCTCCTTATCACAATAAAGAAATTGACAAGGCACCAACATCAACATCAACGAAAGAATTAATAAATAAATGGATAGAGGATAGAAATATTCCAACAAACAGTAGTATGCTAAAGGATGAACTGTTGGATTTAGTAAAAATGCATAAATCAGCCTATGCTCGTTATTCAATAGACGAGATCGCAATTAAACACGGAAGATTATCTCCCTATCACACAGATATTAATCCAATTGAGCTAGTCTGGCCAGTTTAAAATCGTATGTAGCATCAAAAAATATTAGATTCAATAGAAATACTGTAAAAGTTATGTAACCAATTTTTTGCCACTTTCCCTCCTACTGAGCAAAGCCAGCAAGAATTTTTGGTTCAACAAGAAACAATATAAAATAACATGGAACAATTTGTCATCACTTATCACTTAAGAGAAAGTGATTTGGAATGGGATTTTTCTGGTTGGTTGATTGGTTCGTTCTTTGCTGATTATTTTAAATCTATGGGCCAATCTTTGCAGACTATCTTCCTCTTGAGCTATCAATATTGTGTCGTATGCGTAACAGAGTATATTTATTTCTTTGTTTCCCATTCTGTATCTTCTTCCTTTGTTAACATTTTTGATGATTTCATCCATGATTAAATTGAAGCACATAGGGCTCAATGATTCTCATTGTCTTATTTCGCTGCCTATTTCTATAGGTTCTGTAAGTTGTCTATCTATTCTGACTTCCATTTTGTTGTTATGTATGTCTGAGTGTGTATATTATTTTAATTTTTTTATTTCTTATATTAAAAATATTTTATTCCCTTTTGTCTCGGATCTTGACATGTAATTTCATTAAAATAATTTGCTGCCTTTTTATACAGTGTGTCCACTTAAGTTCGCACCATATGGGAAACTTTCTTATTATTAGTTTTACGAAAAAAAGTTATTCTTCATAAAAAGTTCTGCATGGTGTAAAAACTAAAATACAACCATCAGATATTAAAATTTTTCAGTCGTATACGAGGTATGTTCAAAAATATGAATTTTACCAAGAGCAAAGTACCTCAATTTTTTATAATTTCGAAAATTGTTATCAAGAAAATTTATTTAAAATTGTAAACATATCTAACAAACATTTAACTCATTTGTTATCAAACATTTGATAACCTTTTAGTTTCCCAACTTGACTGTTACAGCATTTTGTTGATGTTTTAAAATAATTCGTACACATAACAACGTTATTTATTTTACAATCTAACATGAATAGCAATTATAACAATAAGTTGTTAAAAATATTTGCAAAAAATATTAAGTAATAGATTTTCTTAGATCAAACCGCCATTGCCTCAACGTACCCACCTTCTCTTTCAATACAAGTTTCCGTTCTACGACAAAAATCTCTTAACACATTTCGAATCATGTTGGGAGTTATAGTCTGAATGGTTTCCGTAATAACCCTTTCCAAATGTTGGACGTTTGTAAACGGCCCTTGTTTCTATACATTCTCTTTCAAGTAACCCCAAAAGAAATAATCTAACGGGGTTAAATCTGGCGACCTAGCTGGCCAAAAAGTCTCTGAATATCTGTGGATTACTCTTCCGTTAAACAAATGATCCAGATACTGCCTTACTTCCAATGTACTATGACATGTAGCGCCGTCCTGCTGGTACCATATTTGTTGCCGTTCATGTAGTGATAGGTCATCAATAAAATCACACACGTGAGTTTGTAAGAAATTTAGATAATTCTGAGAGGTCATGGATTGTCGAAAAAAAAAATGGCCCAATTATTTTATCTTTGTAAATGCCACACCAAACATTTGTTTTAAATAAATATTGATCACGAGTCCTAATTGTGAAGTTAGGATTGTTGTCACTCCACCATCGACAATTTTGAGAACTCACCGTTCCATTTGAATTAAATGTAGCTTCGTCTGAAAACATTATTTTTCTAACAAAAAAAGGATCGTCTTCAATTTTTTCTTGAATAAGAAAACAAAATTCTATTCTCTTATCGTAGTCTCTAGGTTTCAATGTATGAATAAATTTAGGCTTATATGGTTTAAACTGATTTTCCTTCAAAATTTTTGCAATTGTACTTTTACCTGCATTTTGCAACAACAATGCCCTCTTTCGTAGGGAATATTTAGGATCTTGCACTGTAGATAACATTACATCTAATTTCGTCGCTTCATTTGCAACGCGTTTTTCACGTTTGTTGCTGAATTTATTTTTAACATCTCCGTATACTTTGAATTTTACCATAAGTCTCATAACTGTTGTATGTTGTATATTTCTTCCTGGATGTCTGTTATTAAATATTTCAGCTGCTTCCCGATACGTTTTATAATTATCACCCACAATTAGCACAATTTCTATTTTTTCTTCTAAATTCAATACCACCGGCATCTTTAATTAGAATTTATTGTAACTGTCAAATATGTATTTTACGTTTAATGTCAGATATGTAAATATCATGGCAACTTGATTAAAAATGTACTTATGCATTTATTACTGTTGTAGGGTAGACATGCAATAGCAAGATGTAGAAAATCTCCATTTTAAACATTTTGTATACATGGCTATATATTTGAACATGTTGTAGACTTCTAAATAAATTTTCTTGATAACAATTTTCGAAATTATAAAAAATTGAGGTACTTTGCTCTTGGTAAAATTCATATTTTTGAACATACCTCGTATACGAATGAAAAATTTTAATATCTGATGGTTTTATTTTAGTTTTTACACCATGCAGAACTTTTTATGAAGAATAACTTTTTTTCGTAAAACTAATATTAAGAAAGTTTTCCATATGGTGCGAACTTAAGTGGACACACTGTATATACCACAATATATGTCCTTTCCCGCTTTCTCTTTGGTATCACGTTTATCATAAAGGTTTTTATGTGCTCCTTCTTTAGCTTTAGTTTTTTTTTAGTTAATTTTGCTTCCTTTTTGATATCCTTTTATTTTCGAAGATCTGGGCCATACTCATTTCCTTGTAAATCTTTATATAATTCTTCTTTTCATTCATATTATTTTTTCCTCTTTTTACCACCATCAGAATACCCCACTCGAAAGTGTCATTTCGCGTATCAACAGAAATAAAAAATATGCAGCGTGGATGGCTAGAATCTCTCTTAGATAACGTTCAGACACGGATCAGGTGGCGGTTTTCAATTTAATTATTTGCCCACGAAGTAACAAGTGGAAAATTATTTAAGGGCACTACTTTTGATTAAAATATAATGTAATAGCCGTAACGGATCGTGAGGTAAATCAAATTATGCAGAAGTGAGGAGTTAAGGGCTGGAAGGGGACAAACCGTGCAGTAGTGGGAGGAAATATTGACTATTAGACAGAAAAGACGACAGCGTAACTATAGCGACGCTTTTTGAAACAGGGTCGAAATAAGGGAGATGTGTGAGTAGGCGTATGAATGAAATTTATTTTTAAGACTATTTATATTTTAGATATCTCAAGAAGAAATCATAAATTGTGTCTACATTGCTTCGACTTTCAGTTTCAGACATGCAGATACATATGAATTTTTAAAAGTAAACTTTGCTTTTCTCTATTGTTTTATAAATTACATGTTGTTTAAATAGCTGTGATAATGACATTAAAATAGTACTTTGTTATAGACGCAAGCTGAAATTTTTTGTTGTAAAATGATTTTTTTTATTGGAAATAACCCGCACCCGTATATTAATTCACTTCATAGTCATATTGAATTTACAATAGAAAAAGAACAAAATCGATCCATAAATTTCATCATAGACTTCAAAACAAACATGACTTCTACATATTTCATAAACCTACCCATACTGACACGACTATACACAATTCATCATCTCATCCAACACAACACAAACTGGCAGCTTATCATAGTATGTTACATAGATTAACAGAAATTCCGATGTCAAAATACAACTTTGAGACAGAATTAAATATAATTAAGCAAATAGCAGTAAACAACGGATACAACGAACAAACAATTAATAAAATGTTAAATCAAAAACTACACAAGAAAGCCCTGAAATTAGTATTTCCACCACCAGAGAAAAAACCCAGTACCTTCTGCTCGATTACATATACAGGCAAAATAACAACAAAAATTTCCAAACACATAAAAAAGAAAGGAATAACACCAGCTTTCCGAACAAATAACAACATAGGCAAATATATTAAAAATAACAAGAGCCAAAATAAAAAACACTTAAATAGTGATGTGTACAAACTTCAATGTGGCGACTGCCCAAAAACTTCGGTCAAACTGGTAGAAATTTTAATAAACGAATAGCACATTCAAAATAAAGGCCTTAAGCTATCTTTGTTAGAATCTATGGAAATCAACAAATTAAAAAACACAGATATAATTCTGAATGACCAACTTGAGACAAACAGTTCTCCCCTCCTCAACCTATTTCATTAGAGACTATAAATTTTTAAACCCAAGCCAAAAATAGATCACTTGAGAAAGGCAATCAGCCGAAACAGCTGTAGTGATATGATTTAAAATAAATTTTGTGGAAGCTTGAAAACAAAGTTTTCAGTATTTAACAAATGCTTACAAGGGCAAAATATCACTGATGATTTAAATTTTCGATACATCAGCTCAATATTCAAGAAAGGGGATAAACGCAAATGCTCTAATTATAGGGGAATAACTGTTATCAGTTCAGTGGGGAGGTTGTACGGTCGAATAATAAAAGAAAGAATATAATCAGAATACGAATACATAGAAGAACAAAATGGATTTCGTGCAAGAAGATCGTGCACTGATGGTATATTCGTTCTGCAGCAGGTAATAAAAAAAACGGAAGGCAAGGAATCTATCTACCCACCTATTGTTTGTAGATTTAGAGAAGGTATACGATACGGTACCTTTGAGAAACTGTTTCAAACATTGACGACAGTAGGTCTCAGTAGAGAGTATGTGGATGA